CGTACTGCTCGTAGATGGACACAACACGGCTGCGGTAGTCCGGTGAGGCACCCGCAGCCCCCGAGGGCTCGGGGCCGTACTTACTGACAAGAGCGGCAATCAGTGCCTCCTCCTGGCCCCGGTACTTCTCCAGCTGCGCGTCCACGTTGGCCAGCTTGTCGGGGGCGTACTGGGTGTACAAGGCTATAACTCTGTCACGAAATGCGAGGCTTTCATCACCATTTGTATTACTTTCATTTTCATCGTAATTGTAATATTCGGGCTCGGGTCCGTACTTACTAACCAAAGCCTCAAAAAAAGCTTCCTCACTGCCCTCGTATTTTGCCAACTGCGCATCCACGCCATCCACCTTTTCTGGTGCGTAGTATGTGTAGAAGGCGACGGCACGGCTCCGGTAATCCATCACTCTCACCAGTAAAGCTGCGTGTTGGGAAAAGAGCGTAAACTAGGCTGTTGTTAGCTGGCTACGTAGGTTTGTTTCTGTGCAGGAAATATGAAGAGAGGGTGAGGCTGATGTGGAAGCCAACGTAGCAGCAGGAGAGAAACGACATCTACAACGCTGTGTGAAATCCACACGGAGGTGAGGAGAAAACTTCTTTTTTTTTTTTGCGTCGTTTATTGGCTTCACTTTCTTCATTTGCCTCCACGTGGGATGCAAAAATGTGTTGCAAGGGGTGAAGAGACAAACGCTTCGGCGTGGGCTCGCAGACGTCAGGATTCGGCCCATGACAGACGACCTCGAGGCGTCAGGAAACAGACGGCTCGTAAACCCCCTTCGCCCGCACGCGCTCCAAGAGGACGTCAACGTGTGCCGTCCGCTTCAACTCCTCAGGGAATAGGCGCCATTCCTTCGCCGCATCCGCAAACGAAACGCTGAGGAAACCTCTCAAAAAACTTTGCACAAAGCACACATAATTTCCCTTGCGCCGCGTCTTCTTTGGGGAGCTGCCATAACTTCGCTTGCGCTTCTGCTGCTGCAATGCCTCTTGTGACGCGAGTGTGTCGCGCTGGGAGAGTCTTGTCTCGCGATCGGAGGCAAATGCAGCCATACGACGGGCGTCACCCATTTGCAGTGAGTAGACGTCGTAGGAGCAACCATCGCGTACCAAAAACCGTCCTGACGCATCGACAGGAGCGATGCACGGCCTTTCCTTGTCGTAATTGACAAGAACGGAACCGGAACCAAAGCGGCGCTTGACTTCTAGCATCCCTGTTGTGGTGCAGTAGTGACCACCGTTGACACGCACATGCATTCCTTTGTTGGTGTGTCCCTCTCCCCTCCCTCGTCGCACAGGTCACGTTAGTTCTTCTTTGGTGTGCGGTGCCTGTGTCGAATGCGTGACGACAGTCGCAGCGGCAGGGCAAAAACAAAAGTGAAAAGAACAAGACTCAAGCAGCAATGCGCCTTCTGGAGAAGCAGTAGCAACAGTAACAATAACAATTAAATACATTGACTTACTTACCCTGCATCTGCCTGCTGTTTCTGGTGGCGCCTGCCGTGGTGCAGCCCAACTCGCCAGCCACTTCTTGTAGCGTCGCCACCGCCAGTGGCCTTGTTTCATACTCCCCGCATGTATTCACATCGTTCCTTTCGTTTCCTTTTTTTTTCCTTGGTGGGGGGAGCATCTCTTCCAGTGTGAAAGCAGTGTGAGTAGGTAGGCGGTTTACGCCCGACGTTGCAGTGTCTGGCGAAGATCTTCCGCCACAGCAACACCTCCCTTATGAAGGTAAACAATCAGCAGCGCCTTCTGCACATCGGGTGTCACCGCAAGAGGCATCCGCCGTGCGTTCACCGCAAGCGACCGCGCTAGTGCGTCCTTCAACGGCCCGCACTGAAGCTGCGACAGAAGCGACGCCGCCGTGTTCAGTTCCGCCATCGTGGCACAGCGCCCGCATGCGCTGACAATCAACTCTAGGAGCGTCGCCTGCATAGACGCTGTCAGGTCCGATGCAAGACTGCAGCAGTTGAACAAACGCACCAACTGAGGTGTTGTGAAGGAAACGGCGTGTATGAGTGCATGCTCGTGGCCCAGCGGGCGAAGAAAGAGCATCAGCTGTAGCCGCTGGAGTAGTGTCGTGTCTCTTTGCCCCGCAGCACCTTCAAGTAATGTCACCAGCACGTCCAGATGGGCCGTCGTCACGCTGTCACTCTCATTCGTCAAGCATCGCACAAAAAGTTCAACGGCCTCCGCAGGTAACCGACAATGATTGGCGCCCAGAAACCTTGCCACCCGCATCAGCGAGAAGTCCGCGGGGTGCTCCTCAGTATAATTCAACAGCCATTCCATCAGTGGCTGCAGTGCGGCGGGACATGTTCCCGCTGCTCCAGCTGCAGCTCGCCACATGTCAAACACGGCCGCACTTGGCAGGAATGTGCCTTCGCGGGCAAACACTTTTGTGCATCGCCGCAGCAATGCATCGGTACGACCGCCTTGCGTGCCACTCACATCGCCTCCCTTCGTCGCCTCTACAGGAGACGCTGCGGCTGTGGATGCCGACAAGGGGGTCCTCAGCAAGGCAGGGGCACGAAGCAAATCGCAGGCGCTGCAGACGCAGGCAACACACTCCGTAATCTCCGCTGAGGTACCACCACCTCGCTCCCATGCCTCAGGGAATTGCTCGAGTAGGAGGACGCTTCCGGCGAGAGAGGGAGACCTCACGCTTGTCTGTTCACATGCCCCCAAAACATCCAGCGCCACCGCCAGCACCCCCGCGATGCGCCCACTGCAGCGACCCCACACGGTGTCGTTCATATCATGACACTTCACAATGAAGTCCTCAAGGAGTTTTCGTGTCCCCATGCTCACCTCGAGAGTTTGTTGCCGCTCCAGAACCACGGCGACGCAGATGCTAGCGAGATCGCGCAGAACGTCGTCCGTTCCAGGAGAAACTGAACTGTCCCCAGCGCAGATGCACTCCACTGCCTTCACTCGAAGGGCCTGGGTGACCTCGCTCTTCTCAATCGTTGCGAGAAACTCCAGCAGCTCACGACACATCGCTGGCTTCAGCGAACGACGAAGAAGATACTGAAGCAAGTAGTTTACCTCGTCAGAGGTCTCTAAGGAAGCACCGGAGGTGCGAGAAAGCATATGAATGATGGATTCCACTGGCAGAACATGTGCATCCGACAGAAGTCGGTCCTTGAGCGCCTGGTAGTCGTTCCCCATCACAGCATCCTCCTCACGGTGGAACGTATCGCTCTCTTTTTCTGCAAGTCGAGTATCATGCAGAACACACAGCAATTCCTGCTGTGCATCACACATGCACTCTGGGACAATAAAAAGCGCCTCCACCACCAGAGAAAGACTGGTAGGCGTTATAGTCTTCGAAAAACGAACAAGGCGTCCACATAACGCCCTCCACAAGGCGGCATGCGCTGCCTCCTTGCCCAGCGTGGCAACACACCAAAGTAGCCGAGCTGTTCTTCGCTCATCGAGCCGTGGAAGCTGCTCCTTCGCACAGAAAAGGAGCGTGTCCACCATGTTTAGCGGCCCTGAGGGCGAAGCAACAGCAATGGCATGCAGCGAGGCTATAATTGTATGCGGTTTCCACAGTGCAAACTGCGATCCTACAAGTCGTTCATCCACCTCCTTCAGAAGGCTATCAATACAAGCCGGCGAAATATTTCCACTCCTATTATTCTTGGCGATTCGAAAGATGTTAATTGCAACCTCCTCATGGAGGGGTTCCACCGTGTGGAGAAGCGGGAGGGAAAGGGCAAGCCGCTGTACAAAAGCATTCGTGCAGCGCAACAGCAGCGCGTCTGGCGTGTTGCGAGCCAGCGAAGCCAATGAGGCGGCACCAGAGCTCAAATATCGCGCAGTTGACATGGAAGGCGCCGCCTCAGCAAGCACCACCATCGCCCGGGTGCAAAGCAAAGAGAGAACAGTCCGTGCTTGCGCCGTCATTCTTGTTTCCCTGCTGATGTGTCAAATGACGCGGTGCCGCAACTTCCTCCCACCCCACTACTAACGCCGTGTCCGTGCAAGCAAAAAAGTCAACAAATAAATATGTCTTGTAGAAAAAGGCGGAACGCCGCAAAGGGCAGCTCGCCGTTCTCCTCTTTCTATTCCTTCCTCGTCTCCGCCCTCTTTCGTTTTGCAGTTTCTGCTAATATTACTTGTCCACCCTTCCTCTTCCCATTACATAGACGTGGGCGTAGCCCCACATGTGTGATGGATACATCGACGTTGTAGAGGACCAGACGGTAAAAAGAAAAAGAACATAAATCAAAGGAAAGAAAGAAAAAATGAACAGCGTGGTAGGCACCGCATCCGCACGTCGAGGGGCAGAGTGGGAGAAGGAAGAAAGAAAATAGAGGGCGTACGGAGGAGCAGGAAAAGCAAAAGGGTGGTGGCGCAGAGGGAAAATCAAGTCAGCCAATATTCACTCTTTCTTTTTCGTTGTTGTCCGTTGCCGTTTTTTTTTTGTCCGTTAGTTTGCCTGTTTACTTGAAGTCTGTGGAAATACGTGGTTGACACGCCGGCCATACTTCGTTTCCGCTCTCGCTGGTCACAGCGACCTTGTGCACGGCATGAGTGCATCAGTGTCCTCAGGTACTGCCTCCGGCGAGTTGCGAGACAACGCCCCCCGTAGCCCAGACGGAATGCGTTCCTGCAGCACCCGCAGGTCCACCTGGTTGGACTTCGCCAGCCAGCGGGAGGTCAACTCCGTCAGTGGCAGCTGCGTAAAAAGGCCCAGGGGATAGCGGTAAAGACGGTTAGAGTAGTAAAGTACGTCCGTCTCACCTGGCAACTCTCCCCCGTAGACAAAGAGCGAGCCCTGTGCGAGAACATAGGCGTGACCACTGCGGGCACTTGGGCGTGCCTTGCCACAACTCAACGTGAGGTCGACCCACCGCGGAAGCTGCAAATTTGTGTCAATGTACCAAAAGTCGTCAAAGTACACGTTGCCGTCGTTGTCCCCGCCGTGGATGTACGTGCGTCCTTGCAGCACAACCATCGCGGAGGAGTACCGCGGAAAGGGGCGAGGACCACATGGTGGCAGTACCTCACGCCACACATTTGTAGGAAAGTGATAGTAAAAAAGAGAATTGCTGTAGGCAAAGTTTCCTGTAGGAGACGCCGTATGGGTGTGGTATCCGCCAAAGACGTACAGAAAATCCCCCTCCACCTGCGCACTATGACCGATCAGTGGCACTATAGGCTTTCCAAAGACACCCACAGATTTCACAGGATGCCACGTACACGTATCGAAGTCCAAATACCAAAAACAGGTTGAGGTGCTGCACGGTTCACCCATTAGAACGTACATGCGATTGCGGTATACATGGGCACTGTGTAGACGTCGTTCTCCTGGGCCTTCTGGCTCTGGTGGGGCCCGATGTAAGCATGACCAGGTAAATGTCTGCAAGTTAAGCACAAGCACTTCTGAAAATAACACAGGCATATATAAATGATACCCACCGTATACGTACATATTATCACCGTATACAATGGCAGAATGACTAATACGTGGTTCAACTATGTCCCCATTTACAGTCTCCTTGTACGTCCACGTGAAGGTCTTAAGGTCAAAGCAGTAAACCTCGTTGTACACAAAATGAAGCGCCCCACCCCCGAAGAGGACGAGAAATTCATCCTTGTAGTTCACCAGCGAGTGGCAGCAGCCGTGTGGGGGGATGTCGCCGCGGGGACGCACGCTACTCCATAGGTACGTCGTTGTCTTTGCCACCTCCCCCTTGCTGACGTAAAGGGGCATTCACGTCACAAGCTGCGGCCGTCGACGGCGCAGGAAAAACAGGCCAAGGAACAAACAGTAAAAACCAAAAGAAAAAAACAAAAAAAAATGACGCTTCTGCAAAAAAGAGGAAAAAAAAAACAAGCAAACTTGGATGGGGTTAACTGCTACGGTTATGTCTGCGTCAACTAGAGGCCCCGGGTGCTGTTCGCGCCCCTCGACAGCGCCCTGGCAAAATACCTCCTAGCCGTAAAACAAAAAGAAAAAGGAAAAAAAAGCCTTTCATGCAGGTAACGCAACATCAAAGAAAAGACACAACAACAAAAAATAATAATAATAATAATACAGAGGCACACGCTCTCACATACGCACAAACGCACCCACACAATGCAGGAGAAATCATATGGGAATAACTTCATTAAATGCACTTCAAGATGCGTTGGATGTCAAATTCATCGATGGCGTTTCGCACCTCCTGCAGCCACACCGGGGCATCCAACGGAATCTTCACCCCGACCATCTGCGTCGTGGTGCCAAGTTTCGCGACATCCCGCAGCAGATCGTCCGCATCCGCCCCCAAAGATGATGCCGTAGTCCACAGTCCGTGACACAACTTGATGTATTCTTTTGCCGCCGCATAGAATAGCTCAAACTTGTGAATGGGACTGCAGTGCTGACTCGGCAGAAGAGCAATGCCGCCTCGCACCACCGCACGCAAGCAAAGCTGTGCATTGCCATCATCCATGTTTTTGGCACTCGCAATAAGAAAACAAAGAATGCTGTGAAGACGTGGAGCATGCGGGCTCGCAGCTATTGTATCCAACACATACGGGGAGAAGCAGTCAGACTCAATACCCCAATTCACATCCCCTGTTTCATTCTTGCAGGAAACAAACCTTTCCAAGGCATCTGCAAGGATCCCAGCCGCTGAAGTAGGCTGCAGGACACGCATTAATCGCCAAGTTATAGAAAAGTGAAGGGGATTCATAGTGTACCACAGCTGTAGGACCTGAGTGTACTGTTCTAGGCCTAGTAACCCTTTGGCCGCTGCAGCTTGCACCCACATCGTTATTCGCTCAGCTACACGACGGCTCTGGGCTGCGTCCGGGTCCATGCGCTGCAATAACTCCATGACAGACCAAGTTTCTTGCGGGGAGCTCAACGTACAAGAGCGCAGCTCAGCCAATGAATAATCGTCAAGGCGCGAGTTCTCAAGTGCCCCAGGAGGAAGTGAGGCATAGCCTTGCTCTAGTATCATCGATAGATATGAAGCAAGCATACAGCGCGGTGCTTTATCGTTCCCACAGGGCAAATGAAGACCCTGCCAAAGGCATTCCAGGATACCTGGCAGAAACGGTGCATTCAGCCGACGCAAGGACTCACAGATGGCGGCAGCAGTTGCTACATTGCCTAAAGTCATGACAGCATCCCGCAACAGCGCTGCCAGTGACGAAATCACTCCATCCTTCTGTTCAGAACTCCATTTCCCCTGATGCCGAGAAACAACAACCGGAAGGAGTAGAGCCTCTTTTTGTTGCTGCTGTGGCTGCTGCTGCTGCAGCTGCCGCTGCCGATGTAAGACGGCCTCACCACCTGCCATTACAGCGAGGTAGGAGAGTTCAGCATCCCAAGCAGCCACAGTGAGGCAGCCTCGCGCCGCTAGAGCCTGCGTCTCATTATCTCGAAAAGGGGAAAGCAATGCGCACAGCCGTTCGTACGTCGTAAAGAATGCCACCGGGGGTTCATCGTGCCAAACAGCAAATTCATCGTTGTCATTCTGGCCAACGTACAACGCAATGCTGTTCACATCATGGGCAGAGAAGCCCTCTAACCACACGAGCAACGACGCTAGACAGCCCTTCAAAAACTCCTCCAGCCGCAGCAACGCCTCCTCTTTCTGCTTATTTTTTCGTTGAATACCTTCCACAACCATCGCATAGTCATCAGGGTCATCGGTAGGGTCCATCTCCGGCACCGGAAGAGGCGACAAGACTTGGGACAAGACGCTGAGGCTCTCGCAGAGCGCCGGCACAAAATCCAGCGGCGCCGCTGTTATCGCCTTCGGTTGCTCCAAAATACGTTTCAGCGTCAGCGCCCCTGCCGCCAAAGCCTGGTAGAGAACGTGGTCGGTGCCAAACTGCACCACAACCTCCTCCACGACAGACTCCAGAGAGGAGGTGATAACGCAGCAAACGTGCAGCAATGGCGCCTGTGTTCGCTCGTCCAGCACAGCCTCAAGCGCTGTCAAGAGGAGTGACACAGCACTGGCGTCAAGCACCGTGATGGCGCGAAGCACGGCACACACAGCCTCCACAATAGCCTCGGTTGCGGCCCCTTGCCGCAGCCGCTCCAAAGCCAGCCGCCAGAAAGAAGAGGCTGATAATCGGGTCCAAAATAAAGGTGCGATTTCCTGCGGCTCGTGCACGTTTCCCTCCGACAAGAATGACACACCCTGCACGATGATCGCCGCCTGCGCACCCACGTCCTCCACCGCCGTGGAGGGGGCGAGTACAAGATGCATGTTTTTTTGTACGCACATTCGCTGCGCCGAGCGACGTACAGGACCGATCGCTACACGCGAGTCACTTAACACACTCATCACACCCACCAACAACTTCGTGAAAGTTCGGGTGTCTCGTGTCGTCTCAGGGGCAGCACCGCCAAAAATGGCACAAAGGGATTCCACCACACTCACATCGGACTGCAGCAGGAGCAGCACGGAGACACACAAGTACAGCTGCTCCATCACCGGTGCGGGAAGGTTGGCGGCGCGAAGCGCCTCCAGATAAAACAGCAGCAGGTCGGCAAAGTCCGTTGGCCGCTCGTCGTTGATGGGCCGCGTCATCGCGTCTGGAATGGCTTGCATGCAAAAGAGACGGTTCAGAATCGCTACGAGGAGCAAAAAAGAGGCTGGCAAGGCCCCCGCACTAAACCTCGTGAACGCCTCTCTAAAAAGAAGTGGCGGAAGACACTGTCGAGTAATACGCGCAGTGTACGTTGACCGTCGAAGGAGGTCGCGCATAAAAACCCCGGCCTCAACGCTGCCATCTTCCAGGAATGCCTGCACCGCCCTCCATACTTCGGGTGGCACCAGCCCCTCCATGCGCTGCCGGATACACTGCAAAAACAAATTTCAAAAAAAAAAAAAGGGCGGGAAGAAGAAAACCGCACAGACTGCAAAGGAGCTTTTACAAACGCATCGTTTACGTCATGCGAGACACACACACAAAAAAAAAACACACACACACGAAATAATGAAAAATCGGGGCGGCGCAAATATCACAAAACGACAAAACAAAACAAAAGGGCATAACTATCCCAAATCTGTGCCCCCGTGCATAAAATCCTCTCACGCCAGTTGACGCTTTATGTTCTCTTTGTGCTTGCTGTAGATACTTTCCATCACATTCAGACCTATACGCTCGTCCACGGCCTCCAGAGCTTGACGTCGTGCCGCGACGTCGTCCGAGTACCCGCGATCCGGCGAATAATACGGCCGGAGATCGTCAGGGTAAAACCTTTTGAACACAACGCTGTGTGCGGTGAGGTAGCCAATCACCACAACGCAAATGGCACTATAATATTCTCGCGTCTCAGCCCCAGCACGGCCTTCGCTGTCACGATGCTCCGCTTCCTCCTCTGCCTTGGCTGCCTGTTCGTAGTTTCCTCTCTCCGTCAGCTTACGCTTGCGATACGCGAGTTCATCGCGACTGGTTCGGTGCGTCAGCGGGTGGTCGGTGAGGGTGTTGCTGTGCATGCAGTCCTCGTACAAACTCTTCGGAGCCCTGCGGATTGAGAAAATATCCTCCGTTTTCCTTTCAAGCTCCGCCATCGCACGAGCCCCACCACCATTAACACCCGCCGCCGCCGCGCCCTTGCACAGCCGCATAAACGACTGCCGCCACATCCTAGCGTCCCTATTGGTGTAATGCGCGTAGTTAGCAGGTTCATGAGCGCCCACATGCGGCGATGACGCGAGGCAAAAAAAAAAAAAAGAGCGTGGAATGGAGAAGGGCACACAAACAACATGTGTAAGCAGGAATGTTAACAGACGCACAGCGCACAAATACCCCCCACCCCCACCCACACAAACGTGCAACTGATGTATTGCTTGCTTCCTTGCATTTCCACGCCTTCGCCTGTTCTTTTCTTCCGAGCTTCCCTGCCGGTGCATTTGTTTCTTTTTTTTTTGTCTTTTTCGTCCCCCCATCTCTTTCGTCCGGATCGTTTGTGTGTCGCCATCACCGATGGCCGTTACTTCTTTCAATTCTTCTTCTCTTCTCTCTTTGCTTTATTACTGTGGCTATTTCTCTTTTTTTCTTCCTTTCTCCTCTTACCCTCCCCTTTGATCTCCGGGTGACTCATTTATTGCCGCTTTGCTAGAAGACCCTGCAAGAGGCTCATTGCAAACGGTATCAACAGGAAAGTCCAGTACTTCTGGATGAATGTGCGATCGTCCTCCTCCGGCTGCTCCGCCTGGTCCTGCTCCTCCGCCACTCCTGCCTGTTGCTGTTGTGGGTTGCCACCGTACAACGATGTGGCCTTCGATGCCGCGCCGCCCCCCTTTTTCTTGGCGCCCTTCTTGCCCGCTGACTTCGAATTGCCGAGCTTGGCAAGAGCGTCTAGATCGGCGTAGTCCGGCAGGCTGCGTGGCGCTGTCGGCTCCACCAAACCGACGCTGGCTTGCAGCCGCACATGCGGAAAGAGAGAGAGAATGCCGAGGTCGCACTCGTCACCGTTGAGCATCTTTGCATGAAATGTGTTCGTTCCACTTGTTGCCTGAAGTCCTACAACCGTCGCGCCAGTGCCAACAGCCACACGCAGCGACTCCCGCAACAACACTGTGCGAGAGTCCGCGGCCTCAAAACCGCGAACCAGCGAACATGGTGTGAGAGCGATGGAGACTGCGCTGCTACCATCCACATCACCTTTGCGCACCAGGCGGTAATACACAAACTGCGCCTTTGCCAATGCCGCCTTCTTCTCCTTTGTCAAGTCGCCTTGCTTTCCGGAGTCCAACGCCTCGCTGTTCTGCCACAACTTCGCAGTGGCATCGACGGAAACACGCGAGATAGTGATGCTGCTGATGGCTTCCCAGTCCCCCTCAGCACCCAGGCGACGTTGCAGGTCATACACCTCAGAAACGGCCTCGGAGGCCCCAGTGACGATGACCAGCAGGGCCCACAAGCCGAGAAGCAACCCCCCCTTCATTGTCTTTAAACTCCCTTCTTCTTCTCTTATCTTTTTGAGCTCCACGCGCGATAAGTGCTGCTTGCCTCCGTCTCCTTGCAAGTGTGGGCGGAGGTGGCACCGCAACCCACAATGATTCCCTGAGTCAAGGTGTGTATGTGTTTGTTGCGCAGAGCGTTGCGTGCCCCAGCGAGGTGCCGAGCGCGCAGTCCCCCTAGTCGCGGCCTTCTCCCCACCGTAAACAAAAGACGGAAGAGCAGAGGCATAAAAACACATAAAAATGAAAAGTGGAGGTGTGGACACGCTCACCGACGACGCTGCGGGACGTGAAAAAAGTGGTTAAGTTTATCGCGTAAAAACAAAGAACGCACCTTGGCCAGCTTCTTTTTAACCTCTTCGTCGTATTCATGCGTGCGTGTGCGTGTGCGTGTGTTGCATCGTCGCAGCACTCTTAGTTTAGCACAACAACAAAAAAAAAAATACAAACGCGTGCACCGATGGTCATCATCACACCGCGGCGTCTTGCTGAGTGTCCGTGGGCGTCTCTGCTCTGCACAGAAGAAGCGGGAACACAAACGATGCGTCACCGTGCACACGCACCACTTCGCAGTTTTCCGGCAAAACGCCGTTAGCCCTGTCCTCCGCCACGTTGCAGGAGCTCGGGGACGCGTCCACCTCAAGGCCGGTTGTCACGTACACCACCGCATCCGCGCGGATGTGCTGCAGCAGGTGGTGCTTTGGTAGCCCGCCCCCCAACACAATACAGGTGATGCGACCAACATTGTTAGAGCTGGCATTACCGTCATGACTGTCACCGCCGTGGCGGTGACGGCGACCCAACTCCTGCAGTCGCGCCACGTCAACAACGGGGTCCACCACGAGTCCCTTCCTCGAGAAGTTGTAAAAGTAAACCATGTCACCAATTGAGCCATCCGTGATGGCGGGTGAAAAAACGGGAATCTTGTTTCGGTAGCACCAGTAAATGAAGCTGTCGGTGCACACATCCGGGTGCTCGCGCTCAAGAGCCTCGCCCATCGCTTCAATCATCTCAGACGGAGCCGTCATTGTCTCCCAGCAGGAGTTACGCTGCAGCTCATGCAGCCGCTTCAGCACGGGCATGAAGAAGTCCTCGAAGTGGCAGTAATTGTCGTTTGGCACAAGAAGATTGCCAGTGCGGTTGACGCCACTCTTGCGGAGTGCGCGCCCATCCATGTTAAACTGCCCCAGAAACGTATCTCCAAGGCACTTGATGATGTCCTCCTCAATCCCGCCGGCAGTCGAAATGGCACCGTCTATGAGGCGCTCCCGCGCCAGCTGCGCAAAAGTGTCGCGCAGACCACTCGAGATGAGGTTCGAGGTGTAGGCCAGGAATACAGCGTCGCCAGCACGCTTGTGGTACAGCGCCCGCTGCACGATCTTCCGGGCCCGTCCAAGCTCCGTCGCCTGCAGGCCAACGCCGGTGTACGACGCCAGAACACAGCGCAGTGCTTCCTCATGATCTAACGCCAGGAGCGCACTGTAATCCACTGCCTCAACGGTATCCATGTGTAAAGGCGGTGTTTCCGTCGCACCGTTCTCGCCACTGCCGGCTTGGTGGCTCCCTTAATTTTACGCAGGTATACAAAACCTTCCTTATTCTTCTACTTGGCTTACCTCCACCGCCCCTCCCTCCAGAGTTCAAGCCAGAGTGTAATAACGAAGTATTCTCTACGTGAAGGAAACAAACAAACAAACAAACAAAAAACGAGCATCGTAAAGATGGCGACTGCCAGCAGGATACAGACCACAGAGGCTGGAATACGAAATAACCACACTGGGGAGTGTACGGCGTAACAAAATCTTTAGAGCACGTCTCACACGTCTTCGTTGTTGCTTATTGTTATTATTTGTGTTTTCCTCGTCTTAGTTATTCGACTTAGCGGGAGGCAAAAACGTAGACGGCGTCAGGCACTACTACTATTAACTACTACTCACAGATACCGGTGTTATCGCGCCTCCACCCTCATCCTAGTTGTTCCTCCTCAGTTTTAATTTCATCGTCTTCAGTGTTTGTCTGAAGTAACGGGGGAGAGAAGGGGGAGGAGTTATTTGATTGTGGCCGTCATCTCACATGCAAGACGCGGTAAGACTCAATGCTGCACGTTAAGCAGCTCAAACCACTGACGCATGGCGTCTGCGATGGCTCCAGGCAGCGTCTCCAGCTCCCGCACGATGAGGTAATACGGGAATGGGAACTCCTCCATGTACGACCGACGCACCACCTTACCGCCCTTAAACTCCACCAGCTGCATGTCCAGGATGGAGCTCGACTGCACACGATGCAGGCGCGCCTCTCTCTCCGCCTTCAGACGCCGCATGCGCTCTGCCGGGGTGAGACGGGCGAGGTCCTTCGCAGCAAGCGGGGCAAGCGACGATCGCTCGGCCCCTGTCTGCGCCGCACATCCCTCCGCAGCAGCAGCTGCTGTAGCCGTAGTGGGAGAAACCGTAGCCTTGACGTCAAGCAGCACAAACACGACAACTTGACGATTCTCCTCTGCTCGCAGAAGCAGCCTGCGCAACTCCTGACGATCCTCTGTGATTTGCCCGTCACTAATGATAAACATCATCTGCTGCAGCTGCTGAGAGGTAGAGCGAGTCTGTCCGTGGATGCGCTCCCGCGCAGAGTCCAGGTAGTCCAACGAAGTCTCCAGCAGTAGTTTCAGACTAGTCGACTTTTGAGCAAAAGTAACCTCGCTGAAGGCGCGTGGGCCGCTGTCGCCCATGAAGGGCTCCTGTAACTCGTGCACAATGCGTGTTTCTTTACCAAAGCAGGCGATACCTAACTCCCCAACCTCAAGTTGCCGCAACGCCTCAGCCAGGAGAGCCACCGCACGGCATGACATCACACCAGCGTTGTTGCAATGCATGCTAAAGGAATCGTCAAGTGCAACTAGAATCTGATAATTGCGCCTGTTTGGCTTCGTCCTCCGCAGCCAGATGCGATCCTTCTTAAACTGCGAGGCAATGTAGGGAATAATTCGTTTCATGTTTAGACGTTTGCCTGTCTTGTAGTCGCCCTGCAGCTTGTCCGCCAACGTGGGGGCGAGAATGAGACGCAGCTGTTCGCAGAGGTGGTGCGACAGTCCCTGAACTGCAGCCACTTGCTCCTGCCAGAGCTTGCGGCCGCGGCTCATCTTTTCCCCCACATCAAGTGTGTCTTGCTGCTGGTCCAGCCCATCCTCCTCCTCCACCTCCTCGTCCATCTGATCATCCTCCGCGGCTTTTTTTGCAGTGACTTTAACACGCCGCTTGCCCCGGCTCTTGTCAGGATCCTCCTCCGCACTACCCGCATCTTCCTCCTCGTCCTCGTCGCTCTCTTCTTTGAGTGTTGTGTCAAGGGCCGACTTGCGACGACGCCGTGACGTGTCGTCTGGTGCCTCACACTCGCTGTCTGCCCCGTCGGACTCCGCCTCCTGCATCTCCGGCAAGTCACGCTCCGCGTCCGTGACGGGCATCGGCTTCTCATCAGTGGCTGCCATGCCTTCACGGTCGCCCTCCTCATCGAATTCAAATTCGTCGATCGCATCGTCGTCATTGACATCCCGTTCTTCCTCCTGCTTCTGATGCCGTTGCTCGGACGACTTTTGCTTCTTCACGTTGACGTTTCTATCAAGGTTCAACTGCTGTACCTGCCGTTCGTGACGTTGCAACGCTTCCTTAATGGCGCGATACGGGTTGCGAGACGAAGCGCTGCGCTCCGTGTTGTCCCGCTGCCGTGAGGGATCGTTCTTCTCCTGCCGCTGCCAATTTCGTCCGGCGTCATCCGGCTGCTGATCATCGTCCGGCTGCTGCTCCTGCTCTACGCCCGCGGCGTCTTGGGGCCGCTGCTTCTCACGCTTCTCCTTGTCCTCTGCGTTGTTCATCCGCTCCGTCGCCTCCTCACCGGCGTGTTCATCCTGCAACCCACCATGAAACACGTTCTCGTCTGCCCTGTCACCTTCGCTGGTGCAGGAGGCGGCCGACTCCTCATCTTCACCCCACTCACTGCCGTCGTCGTCGCCGCCGCTGAGCCTCTCCTCGTGCGCTGCATCCTCGCCTTCGTCTTCTTCCGCGCCTTGCGGGTCTTTCGACGCGTCTCCCGGGTGGCTGCCGCTGCGGCTACGCTCGTCGTCGTTGTCCCCGCAGCTGCTGCTACTACGGCTGCTGTGGCCGTCGTCATCGCCATCGGTGTCCTCGTCGGTGTCGGCTATGCCTTCCGCGTCTGCCACCAGCTCGTGTTCGCCCTCGTTAAGCTTCCGCTCCGCCTCCTGCAGCGCCTCCTCGCGATTTTCAAAGTTGCCCGTCTCTTCGTTGCTCGCGTCACCGTCGTCCTCGTCACCGGCCTCTTCATTGCCAAACGCATCCTCGGGAACCTCCTCGGCGTCTCCGCCGTCGTCACTGTTCATGTCGTTGCCGTCGTGTTTGTCCTTCTTCATGCGCTTGCGCTCCTGAGCCTCCTCACCATCGACGCTGCCCATCTCTTTCATGGAGGCGTCGTCGTCCTCATCCTCATCCTCGTCATCCTCCGCCTCCCGCTGTTCCTTATTGCCCTTAAAATCCGTCTCCACATCGGCGGCCTTGTCCTCCTCGTCGCCGTTCCGCTCCTGCTCCTCCTGCTCCTGCTCCTCCTTGTCCTTCATGTTCATCAGCTGATCCTCGTTGTCTATCTGGTCCGTCACATCCTTCTCGCCTTGGCCGTCGTCCATGCCCGTGCCGTCCTTCTGCTCCCCGTCGCCGCCGTCGCCATCGTCGTTCTCCTCCTCGTCCTGTTCTTCCGGCTTGCAGAAGCCCTTCTTCAACAAAATGCAGAACAGTCGCGAGAGTACAAGACCCAAGTGCGACTGCGCCCGCAACACCACGGCCGCCTCTTGCAAAAGCGTCGCAATGCGCCCAAGATTGGTGTCGAGGCGCACCAGCAACTCCTGTCGAAGCCCTGAGGAGATACGCCGCTGCTTCACTGGGTCACACAGCAACGCTTGGAGTGATAAAGTGATGCTCTGCGAATTGCGCTTCAACTCCCTCAGTGCGGTAGCGTAGCGATGGTACACCGCAGCCGCCCCCGCATCGCCGCCGTGAGCGGTATCGTCACCAGCATCTAGAAGCCCAGGGGATGAACTGTCAACATCGTCCTCCTTATACACCATCTCCAGCTCATTCAGGAGTTGTTGAACCTTCTGGTGCCACGCTAAACCATTCTCTGTCCGTGTCCGCTTCGTATTAACCGCGGTTGCCTCCGTGACACCTGTACACACCGATAATGCTCTATTGAGCGACACACATACCGCGGACGCTGCGGCGTCGACGCAGCCAACCCCGGTGTTGCACAACCTGGCGCAGACACCACGAAGTTGCATGTGCAATGTGGTATGTTGCCCCAAAATGGCATCTGTTACACAAACATCGGTGCGGCGCTGAGCTTCTGACGCGAGACAAAGCTTCCAAAGCTCTTCGGTCCCGCGAGATAGCTCATCAATGGTGTTAACAGCAGAATCCAGCCCAAAGACTTGTTCCTGTGTCAGCCATCGGGTGTGGTGCAGGAAGCACTGCAGTTGAACGCAGACTTCAAGCGATGTGTGCAGCAACTCACCTCCACCTGGCACGGCAAACTCCTCGCAAGTTGCCACACCACCTCTCACAAGAGTGACTTGATGTAGTACCTCGTAAAGAGTGCCAATTAACTCTGTTTCTTCCACTGCAAGCGCAAACAAGGACTCCACGGTGCCTGTGCCGCGCTTTACCTGGGCCCCACTAAGATCCTTGTGTGGATGCCGCTCCGCCTCCCGCATACGCTGTATCCAACGGGCAAAGCGGTAGTGCTCCGCCGCAGCCTCCTCAACCTGCTGGCTCACGGCAAGGTGACCATGCACGCTGCGACAGGTCAATAACGCGTTGGTGGATGCAAAAAGCTCCTCCCAAGGGGAAACCTGCTCCTCATGTGTGTGAGGCACACCGCTTTCCTCCATGGTCTGAAAAAGAATCTTAAGTGCCCGCAATTTTTGACTCTGCGGCACCCCTTGTGCCTGCAACGACTTCACACGCTCAATAATTTCCTCGGCGGAGTCAGTAAGAAATTGTACCCCCTGACCCACACAACCGCCCGCCACGACTGCGTCGTCCTGCTTCCGCGTCATAGCCTCCTTGGGAATTTGTTTGCCGGACCGAGTTCGCTTTGAGCCCGTCGTCGGTTGGCCGTTATTGATTCTGTTGTTTCCATCACTGCTGAAGCGATGCAGTTTGGGTTTTGCCCTCCCTTTCAGCTCCTCTGAGGGTAGAACAAACCCCATCGCCGCATCCTCTTCACAGCGCTGCTCCTCGCCTGCTATGACCCCAAGTACGGGAGTTCGCAGAATTTTGTCCAACTCCGCCAAGGCACGTCCCATTTCGAGATGTGACTTCTCCGCCGTGGCACGCACGGCGTAGTAAGTGGAATCCTCCCAGCGCATGATGCGCGTGAACGCCTCCATATCCTCCTCAAGCGGCAACAAAGCAGCCCGCAGCTTTTCCGACACAAGCGGCAAAAACTGAGAAAAGAAATCCACCAAATGCATTGCAACGTTGGCTAGCGGTGACGCCGATGCAAATATTAACAAGGACGAGGAGGACGAGGAGGATGCCACGAGATGCAGGGCGAAGGCTCTCAGCAGACGAAGCCGCACATGAAAATCACCGTACTGTGCCCCCCACATAAAGTCCATGCAGTGGCGAAAGAGCAGCAGGCAGCGCTCAGACAAGGCCTCACCTGTTAGTGTGTCCCCACCGTTGACGAGGTCATAGAGACTGAACCACTGCATGCCAGCCTTCAGCTCCCACTCCTCCCGCTTCGCCTTGAAAACTTGTGACCAGCAGTGAAGCTCAAGTCTCCTCCAGCGCAGGACAAACGAAGATAACTTCGTCATGTGAAGTAAAATTGAGGTGTCACGCGAGGCGTTGCGTTCCCATTCATAACACTCCCGCAAAAGAACCTCGCACCCTGTCATAATTTTCATGAGGGGTGTGGTGAGTGCTGGCAGGGCACCAATTCCATTCGCTATGCGAGAGCAGCGAAGCAGCGATGGGGTGTCAGGGTACGTTGTTCGCAGATTTTCCACCGCCTGCAGAAGATCCTGCAGTGACGCACTGAAGGCTCGAATCTCCGACGGAGCCGGATCGGTGAAGATGTTAAATCCACTGGCACGCTTCTCCTCCAATGACACCTCCGCCGGGAGCAATTCACGTGTGACTAACACCGCGCGTGCCGCAAACCCCCCAAGCAGCAGCTGCTCCTCCGCCGCAGGCAAGATCATGCCGGTCTCAGATATGCCGTTAAACCCGAAGCGATGCAATTCACTAGAAAGAATGTCAAAGCGTTGCGCAAACGCGTGCAGCGCCTTCTCTCCATCAAAGACGGAGTTGTCCTGCAACGCCAACAGTCTTTCAAAAAAGTAATGATGGACTTCAATGAGGTGCCGCACGTAGCGTGCCCCTTGCGAGCCTGACAACATGAGACGCGCATGCCGTCCCGCACGCTCCACTGCAAAACATTGAGACGATATGGACGGCTCCAGACAGTCCGTAGCCTCCGCCGCGGTTTCATGGATGTCCTCCACAGCGTCACGCATGCGAATGAAGTCCTCCTCGTAGCTTGGGAAAAGCTTCTTCAAGGCCCGCAGGTGCTTCTCATCGTCCCCCTCAATGGTGATCGCCTTCTCCGCATACAAGACGGCTATCTCCTCCTCGCGGCGTTCCTTTGCCTCCAGCTCCTCCACTGTGCGGTACAACTCGCGGTAGGCGTCAAACAAATGCTCCACAAACTCCCGCTTAAGGATCCGTGCCGGGGTCCCTTGCACCAGCATCAAGCAAGAATCAAGGTATGCCAGCCGGTGCTCCAGTGCGTGCGTCGCCAAGGAAGGAAGGGTCACCGACGACACAGCAATATGCGGGAAATGCATCATGCGTACCGCCTCGGACATGCTGAAAAGTGCTTTGTTGCTGGCACGTGCAGAAGGCTGCAAATGACAACTAACGTGCGCTGCCAACGCTGACAAGAGGGCTGGTTCTGCCATGGTGAGTGTGACGTCTTCGTAGCCGCCGTAGTTTTCTAACATCTCCGTCATCTGCCGATAAAGTAGCTCGCTCCACGTCAGTCGCGCGGTGTAAGCTTCCTGGCGCTTCTCGTACAGCACTACGGCAAGGCGATCGTCTGAGAAGGCGGTGTTGCACATTTGGTGCAGCACACTTACAAGGCGGGCAAACTTTGCGCCTGACGGGTCAGGTCTAGCAACGCTCTTCCCAGTGGCCTTCAGAAGCAAAGCCTCCTCCGCTGTCAGGAGATCATGTACCAAGCGTCGTTGATGACTTTCACTACGCATGGAGATCTCCTCTGACCACGCAAACGCCTTTTCCATGCACGTGAGACGCCCCAGCTCCACCCGTGCCACCTCCTTCTTCACCAGCCACTTATGCATGGGATCAATGGGAGACGAGGGGAGGAGAAACCTGCACTTCAACGCGCCCACCAACGCCACACGCCGAAGCGAGTCCTCTGGAGTGTCCCCTTGATCATTCGCTAAAACCTGCAACAGCGGTCGGGCCGCATTCAAAAGAGGGTCCGCGCAGCACCCCTGCATTCCCGCACGCACCACCTCCAACAACTCCAGAGCCTGTGTGGAAGACTTCGATCGAAGTGCGTCGATTCCCATTTCTGTCCGAAATAAATGTGGGGCACACACAATCAACAACGAAAGCAACCCATCCAGCGAGTTACGCTCCCACTGCTCAAATGGGTTTGCATCCACAACAGGCAAGACGTTGCAAAACCTCAATAGCTCTGTCATAACCTCCGTGTGTTCATTCAGCTTTGCCCTCATCGATATCACGGACACACCAGCAGCGTACTTCAGCGTCTCATACGCCGCTTTCGTCCACGCCCCGTGAAGACTGTGGCACCCGCTCGCCAGCCCGTGACGTGCAATGAAGTGCGAGGTCAGCAAGGGCACCAACGCGGCCAACGCCTGCTCATCACCACCCTCCTGCAACCGAAGGCTGAGTACCTCCCGCCACAGCGTAACCTCCAACTCGGACAGCGCGTGCAACCTTGTGCAGTACAAGTCAATGAACTGGCGAATATCTCTCTGCAGGAACTTCGCAGACCACGCGGAAGAGGCCCAGCGGGCCTGTTGAACGCGCTGCACCAACGCGAATTCCGCACGGAAGATGGCAGTATGCCAAAGAGATTTCAGTAAGGTTTCAATTGGCGACGGCGTGGCAGCCGTTGCGGCAGCATTCCATGCAGCAAATGCAGAACGTTCATCAAGGCTCGTAATGTGCGGACGGATAACACTCCTTTGCACGGCAGACTTACTCGTGAGCAGCGGATACGGCAGGTCAAGGTAGCGTCGGAGGGAGGCCAAAAATTGATCAATCGCCTCAAGCAAAGCACCAGCCTCAAACACCGTTTGTTTCTTTGCAACAGAGCGAATCAACGCTACGTGTGTCACCAATAAAACAAAGTTGTCTGCCGTTAACTGAAATGGTGGGTTGGACACGAAGAGAAGCTGCAACAAGGGGAAAAGGTAGCGGCAGATACACTGCAGAAGACGTGGAATCAAAATGCCAGAGGTGGCCTCCAAAGTGAGGCGAAATACCTCTTGAAAGGCACTGTTAAGCACTGGGGAGTCCGAAACAAGAATGTATGAGCCACCTATACTCTTGCACCACGCGGCGCATGGTCCTAATTTATGCATCGAACGACACCAAAGAGATTCCAGGCTTGTTGGGGATATCTGGCCGTAGTGCGGGGAAAGCAGCAGCAAGGCTTCACGCATCTCATCCTCCGCTGGCAGCGTCGACAAAATAGAGGAGAGGAACTTCCATCGGGCGGACGTCAACATGTCACTCGCAACAGTATCCGAACACTGCTCTAGCAGAAAAAACAACAGCACGTCCCGGAGGGAGTGTTGAATCAACGAGGTGTTTGACAGGAATACCAACGTCTTTAACCCTAACCCACTTCGATGTACACGAATGCGTATCAACGCCGACTCCACATCTGTCTCCTCCGCACCCTCAGTCAAACTCATAGCAGATAGCAGATCCGTAACAAGAGGGTAACACCTCGCAGAGTGTTCCAAATCCTCAGACATCATGTGATCGAGTGCCTCCAGCACAACAGGCTTGTTGACCAACCAGTGACCACAGCGATTCCGAATGTATTTGTGAAGAAGAGCGGCTTTCATATCGCTCAGTGTGGCATCCATGGGCAGCATTTCAGCTGTTTTAATAAGTGTAAACGTGTTTGGTGCTCCCGCTGCTAGAGCATCTGAAAGTTGGGAGGACATTGGCAGAGCGGAATCGGCATGAAATCCCCCAATAACAAACTCACGGTGGTAGTTGCCCAACCTATCAAGGACTTTAACCATCTTACAGGGAGACACGGCCCCCGCAATCGCAATGCTCTCAAAGGAGGGAATACAAATTGGGTCAATGTACACCTCTACTGCACGATTCCGCATAGCGCGTGAAATCTCACCATACTTTGGATCGAGTGTGGCAAAGAGACGGAAGTTTGGATGCGGTTGCACCGTCCGCACCCTCCCCTCCACAAGTCCCTGCTCGTTCACTGAGAGCATCCCGTTTGGTTCCACAAGTGGATTGAGGCGATCCAGCACACTAGCGTTGCAGTAGTTCACATTGTCAAGAACAAGCCAATGACCCAACAGCATGGCCTCCAGAATTAAAGAGTCCCGCCAAGCAAACTGACCTTGTTTGCCCTCCACCTGATCAAAGCCGCCAAGAAGGTCCACCGTGTCGCAGGTTGCATTCATTGAAAACGTCACTAATCGTGCGCCCACAAGCGAGGCTGCAGTTCGAATACAAAACGTCTTCCCAGCTCCACTAGGACCCACTAAAAGACAGAATTGGTTTTGCTCTGCACATATCAAGATGGAACGAATGACATCAGCCTTGGAGGGAAGGAGCAGTAGCGGGACGGGCACGTCCGGTGCCACAGGCACCGGCATTCGGTGGGCCAGAAATGACCCCCCAAAGCAAACAGCCTCGTTGGCAATAAGAAAATCAGATTCTTGATTTGCCCGTGTTTCATCAACGGTGTCGCCAAAGTAGCGTCTTGCCAAGCGATGCACCTGTGTTTTGTCTACATCCGTGCGCATGCGATGAATAAATAAGGTTTGAATAAACTCACAGGGTTTATCCAACTTCTGGTAGGCCTCCATAAGCTTCGCCCATCGAAGCACATCGCGCAGATTGAACTCCCACGGGCTCCCACGCGTCCCGTATGCACGATATACCATCACATCACGCTGCAGTTCACCTACAAACTGCACCATGTTCTCCAATACACTCCTGTCAATATCTGGGCACACAGCAAAGGCAATGCACAACAAATCCTCCACATCAAAGGGCTCAATGCGAACCTTGGTAAATCGATTCAAAAAGCTCCGCGGCAACCCTTTACGACCACCACCCTCCAACAATGGATTTTGGCACGCAAAAACACGAAAATCATCAGCCGCATGAAATTCCTCACCCAACTCTGGAATGAAAACGGCAGAGCGGTGATCTAGTAAGGCATTCAGGCCTTCCAGTACGGCCTGACTAGCGAGGTTCAATTCATCAAGAATTACCCACCATCCAGCTTTGAGAGCCTGCAGAAGCACTCCATCGGACCATGCAAACTGAGGCTCATCGGCTTCACCAGACGAAGGGCAAGGTAAATAAGTGCCAAAGAGGTCCATGATATCCGTTTGATCACTCAAATTGATGCGCACGACACGTTTTCCAAAGGCGCATCCCAAGGCTTCCACAATACTTGTTTTGCCGACACCCGGACTTCCCTCCAAGAGGATCGCATTGCGCATAATACTGGCACGAATCAGCTTTGACAAATTTTGACGCGTAGAAGGTGCTCCAAAGAAAAACCGTCTCTCCATCTCCGGCGGTAACTGTGGCTCTTTCAAGGCATCAAATAGTTCCCAGAAAGGTATCTGTAGGCAACTTTCATCAATCCCGCTAAGTTCCTTCGCCTTTTCAAGACAAATTTCACGTAATTGACGAGACCCAATCTCAAGTTGACCTGTACCAATGCCCATACCATCAAGTATAACAGCATCCAGTCCATGCATAAATGCAACCCTGTCATCACAGTGTGTATTAGCCGCATTCATGAAGGAGACCCAAGCGATAATATCTCGAATGCTAATGTGTTGAGGAGCTCCAGTCGAGGTGGTGGCATGGGCGATATTACACAAAAGAGTTGCCATTCTTTTCGCCCACGGTTCAAGCGAAGGCAGTAACCGCGTTGAGAGAATCATAGTAACCTCCGCCTCATCAGTTGTAGGACGAACATAGATTTCCGTAAATCGGTTACGAAGAGCTGGAGAGAGTTCCTTCTTTCCAAAGTCCCCACCTGGATTCATCGTTGCAAACACCCTAAAATTTTCATGCGCGTAAATCACATCGGCTGTACTCTTTTCAGCCAGTGTAATGACCCGTGATGGCTCCAATACACTATTCAATCTCTCCAGTACACTATCTTCGGCAAGTGAAATCTCATCAAGAAGAAACATGTTTCCCTGCAACATGCACTCCACAAGTGGGCCGTTACGCCACTCAAAAATAGCTCTACTTCGCTGATTAGGAGGCGCAGGGCGAAGATTTCCCAAAAAATCTGCAGCTTCGCTATGCTGATGGCAGTTAACAATGCTTAAAGGACGATTTAGAAGTGCTGCCCAAAGTTGGCACACGGTTGTCTTACTGCTACCAGTTTCTCCAACTAACAACACCGGTTCCTTGTGATGCAGGCAAATCCCAGTCACCGTAAAAAGACGACGCATAGATTCTGTCCATACAATACCAAATTCATCAACGGCTCCATTCTCCATCAAGCTGTAAAACTCAGCAACGTATGGCCAATGCTGGGGTGAGTAAATGAGATCCTCATTGAGCTCTGTTTTTGTAACAGACTCAATAATATCCTTCACAATTTGACGCTCTTCCGCTTTGCGACACCTTTCTGCCAGTAAAAGAAAGCCATGTTCTGCCATTTCTTGGTAGGTTCCCGGTTGACGCTCCGCCCAACGAAAAAGATCTCGAGGTGTTATAAATCCATGACGACCAGCAAATACCTGCGAGGACTGACGACGCAGTTGAAGTGCAACCATAATATCCACCATTTTCTCCGCAAAACTCGTACAGAGAGAATATCGTTGACATAATATTGTGCATAATTCCGAGGTTGGTATATCATCCACAGTCATCTCCAGGAAACGATTGCGGAACGCCCTGGAAAGAAGTTTTCGCCCCCCATAAATTCCTGCAGGGTTTTGAGTGGCAAAGATACGTAAATCAGGATGAGGTTTTATTGTTTCTTGAGTATCTGCCACAAATAATTCGCGATTATCGTCTAGCAAGCGATTTAATGCTTCAAGAACATCTGTGGGTGCAAGGTTTAACTCATCAAGGACAACCCAATATCCATTTCGCACTGCATCCACAAGAATACCGTCAACAAAACGCAGCTTCCCACGCTCATCTGAAACATAGTGGCCTACATATTCCTGAATCTCTGTACTTTCATGATTATTAATTCTCACACATTTATGACCAGTAAGTTCAGCAAGATATTTTACCATGGAGCTTTTTCCGGATGATGTCGGCCCCTCAAGTAGCACAGGTCTATCTGCAAAAACAGCTCGGGCAACATTCAACAGATGTCCTCGAACACTTGAAGTTAAAATAAAAGCTTCATCTTTTATGGGTTCCTCTGAACCAATGGATAACCATATATGTTCATACGCAATGTAGTTCCCTTCAGACGGGCAATGCGGTAAAGTTGCGTGCGGAGGTTGGTTTCCAAAAAAGACGTTTCGAATTATTAACTGTTCCACAACGTTGTGAAACTGACGTTGTAAGGAGGTGGCAAAGCCCAACATCAAGCCATCAAATAATGCCAATGCAAACCCATATTGAGATGTCGCTTTTCTAACATAGGCAAGGGCACGAGTCAACGTTCTTAAACTGAAGGAGGGAGGCCTTGATTCACCATCCAAGGAACAGAGTGTCGATTTCGCTTTTCCTACACACTCCAAAAAAAAGGATGTTATCTCTTCAGTTTTGCAATCCGGAGCTAAATGTCCAATGTATTCATTGACAATCGTACTGATATCATAACGATCAAAGGGTTCATTAACGTAAAATTCCGTAAATTTAGAGCGCAAAGAAGGTGGAAGGTCTTTTTTTCCAACATCCGTAGGTGGATTCATATTTGCAAACACATGAAAATTTTTGTGCCGTGCTATCGGTTCACAATTTCCCTTATCAGTGAGAAATAAGGTATTAACATCTCCCATAACTGAAGATATTCTTTCTAAAACCTCCGTAGTTGCAAGATTCACTTCATCTAACAGGATCCAAGATCCTTCCCTCCAGGCTTTGACTAATGAACCTTCTTCAAAGTGGAAAGCAAAGGTTGTTTTTGCCTTTTCCAATGTTTCCAATAGTTCCACTGCTGTTTTCTCCAGCAAACTCCACTCATTTAACACATCCTCAGGAAATGATTGACGGGTATTCTTTAACTTAAACGTATTAAACCCCTTCAATATCTGCTTTACTACAGCGACCCAGGAACACTTTCTCACAGCAGCTTGAAGAGCGTCCAAAAACCGAACATTTCTTGAGGCATTGAATGTATGTGAAAACAATTCCACAAATTTATGGTATGCATTCCTTACAGCAACACCTACATCAAGCGGTTTCCAACCTCCCATAAAATCACTCGTGTCCGTTTGCTGATTAAGGTTGTGCACAATTAGTTTCTGTCCAAGTTGCCCTGCAAGGTACTGAACAATAAACGTCTTTCCTACACCTGTTTCACCTGCAAGAAGCACATTTTCCTGTGCATCGACAGCCGCTGCTATTCGTTCTAAAAGAGACATCGCGTGCTTTGTGGCAGCAAAGGCAATTCGACTCTCTCGTTCTGGAGTTGTAGAAGAAAAAAGGGGTAATGTTACACGACCGACGGTGACGTACTCCCTCGCTAAAGTCATTTCAGGCCTAGATTCCTTCACAAGTGACACTGCAACATTGAGTGAGATACCCACAGCATCCGCCAGCACTTCCATAGCCGCGTTTAACTCATTACCTTCAGGGTATCCGGCCAGGATACAATCAAATGCTTCACGGAACATCAGTTCACGAACAGTTGAGGAGAGAAAACCCTCCACAGATCCTCGTGCTGGTAGACGTTTGCTTACACGCTTACACCACTTTAGCAAGCATCGCAATGACACCAATGAGACATTCGTACGGGGTGAAACAAGTGTGGCCAAAGCACGAACAATGTTTGTTGGCACACAATACAAAGTTGTTGCAACTTCACAAACTTCATCGGGAGGTAGGTTTTCTATCACAACAGTGCCCCAAAGCTCCGCAAATGGTATAGAATTACTCTTTCGAGTAATAAGTGCATCGCCAACTGCACGCAGCTGTTGTGTAGCTATAATTTTAAAGCTGGGATGGGAGCTAATACGGAGGTTTTTCTCTGGAAGAAACAGTGTTGACTCTTCAAGCAGAGAAAGCAACACGGAGAAGACATCAAATGACGCCAAATCAATGTCTTCCAACAGAATCCAAAACCCATTTTCAACAGCAGAGGTAAGAGGTCCAGGAACCCATTCAAACGCGCCCGGAGTGTCCGTTGCCGAAAACTTTCCCAGTAAATCTTTGCTGTCGAAGGAATCATCGACATTTACCTGAATCAAAGTATCTTTAGCCCTGTATTCATCCGCCAGTGTATTTGCCAAGAAACTCTTTCCACACCCTATATCGCCCTGGATCAACACTGCATTTGACGAATCCAAAGCAACCTTCAAATTTTTAAAGTTGCTCTCACTTGTCGGCGTCAAAATCATCGTCTGCATAACAAAAATGATGTCCATCAAAAAACAAAAACGCATACCAAAACAGAGAGCAAGAAGCAATAGATACAACAAAGAAAAAGACCATACCAAATACAGCAAAGAAGCAGGCCTACATCCTTAGCGAGATTAGGTATCCCACATGTTCCACCGTGTAGAAAGAAAAAAGAAAGTGATTTTTTTTTATTTCCTTTCATCATCATTCTTATTAGTTTTCCTACTTTTTGACTCCATTTCTACTTCTTGAGTGTGCCTGTGATTTCTAGAGAATTGCTCTCCTTTCTTACGCACAGTTTGAAGTAGGCTACATTTCGCATTACTTAACCCTTCCTGGCATAGATGGTGTTCTATCGCGTCAAATAAACTCGGCTCGTCATCAACTTTTCCTGTTAAAAAAGACGACGGCCTTCGTCTCCTAGATGGTGCAATACTCAGTGAAATCATGTACTCAGAGAAACAAAGCTCTATTTCAAGAAGTAGGCTATACTCCAGGCAGCTTCGCTATCCTTTACTGCCAAACGATTACAAAGATCTAGAATAATTTTCCTCGGCATATAAACTCCACTCGCCAACAAGAGAGTTATTACCCTTAATGTGACTGGATACGAACTTGTGAAGCTGAGAAGACGGTAGGCAAACTCTTCCTCCAAAAAATACCTCTGAGAGAAACTGCCACTATTATTCGAGCAAGCCGAAGTAACCATGTGGTCACATAGACATTGAGTTTTGGTATCAGGGACTCTCAGAGTTTGTAAAGCGTTAGACAGTGACCGTTCCTTATCACTCTAAAGATCAACAGGGTTTAAAGAAAACATTTGCGAGGTGCTAGCTTCTATTCTGATATTCGTGCAGTACGGAACAAATAGAAGTAGATCATCGCGTATTGTTCTCCAGTGATCCAAGCGGAGGTGTAAGAGCTTCCGAATCTTATCCCTCCATAAACCCTACAGCCGATGTACAAACGCTCACCAGACCTTTCTCAAAGGTCTTAATTGTCAGAAACAACGATAAAGAAGTATACGCTAGTGGCGAAAGAGGATGGTGTCCAAAATTTGTGTCACTTGCGTCATATTATCATATTGTTAGTGGCCTATATCATACACTATAGGGTTTTTTTTTAAAGGATATCATATAGCAAACACAAAATGTTGACCGGCACCAAGCACTCGGACAAAATCAAAATAAAAAAAACGCTGCATATTTCAACGCATAAATACCATACCGCAGCCCACACCGCCCGCGCGCGAGCATCTTCCCCTTCAAAAAAAAAAAAAAACATACAATGCTAGCCCCCACGGAAGGCACGGGGGCACCTTCGACAAGCACGCCTCGCGCTCGCCCATGCCTTCGGCCCCCCGCGGTGGAAAAACGGCAAACCTGAAAGAAAACAAAAGGCCAGGGAACCGCCGTGGCCGCCCCACAGAGCAGGGTAGCTTCAGCGTCTCTCGCCGCTCGTCTGGGCTTTTTTTTTCCTAGTGTTGGGAGCTCTCCCTTTTCCGCCTCGCCGACGGCAGCAGCGCGGAGGAAGGCGCGGGTCTGCTGTGGTTTCATTAATTTTTTGTTTATTGGGGGAGTTTTTCTTTATGTTTAGGTTTTCCCTGTGTGTTGACGATTTTTTTGTTCATCCACCTCTTTTTCGTTTGTTCCGTATTGCTGTGCACTGCGTCTTATTTAGGAAGCCCCGTTTTGTGACCTAATATATATATACTTGCCATGTGTATGTTTTACGCCTTTAATACCATCTATTAATGTCTTTATCTTTCTCTGTTGTTCAATTAGTGAATTATCGCAGGTTTACTCACCAATACCAATGAGCGGTGAGAGTATCTACAACTTAATTCAAGAAACAACACCCGTAACGACGGGACCCTACACTGGGAAGTACGAAAAACATTTAAAGGCCAGAACAAAGCCTACTTACTCTACCTTTTTTGAAAAAGGTAAGGAGTATGATGGTTCACATGTACGCTATTTTAAGCAACGGGATGCGGTTTTTGGCCCAACAGTTAATGACACCGTGGACCCAAAGAATTTTTTGCACATAGGAGGGGGTGTCAAACACGCTGCACCTCCAGTCCAACAGAGTAAAATGTTTACGAAGCCTCCATTGGATCAAGGTGTTTCAAAGCTCCGTAATAGAGGAGGAAAAAGATATCTTGCTTTGACATCGGATGCACGTGCTGATGGTAACGGAGGAGATGAATTGCATGGTCCAAACGACTTGGGACATGATGGAATAAACGGGGCGAAAACCGGTATACCAAGTTCCAATAAATTTGGAGCAGGGTCTGATGAAAAGGATGCAGGAGATCAAGAAAGTATTCATGTGAACGATCGCAATGTGCCTACTGATTTTGTGGAGGACGCAAGAAATGGACTAGACGATCATAAGGAAAAGGATTTGGCTGCCGATGGAGTCGGTGTAGATCAATTATTGCATTCAGCAAAGGAAGCAGATGATATTCGGGGTAAAGGTCGTCGTGAGGGCTGTAAAGACTTTGTTACATCAAATATAATACAGGTCGGTAATATGGTACCCAAAAGGCGAAAAGATCAACCGGAAAATTTAACGTGCCGGAAAAACTTTGGACGGGCACCTGAGTATTTGCATCGAGTGAAGCAAGAAATTGATGACGAAAGAATGCGTCTTAAATCCATTGAGGAAATGAGAATTCAACAGCAAATTTCAAATATGAAACGCTATGTGCATCGCTTGGATGAAAAGGAGCGATTGCAGTTGTTAGAGAAACTCAGAACAAAGTTGAATGAAAAAAGTACGGAGTTGATTAAGATGCCTTTTGCCAAAGATACCTATACCCAGGTCTTACGACGGGCCGAATTAGAGAAAGGAATTAAACAGATTGAAGCTTCCATTGCTAAACTGGACAAGGATGCTGTATTTATTTACAGTGATGATCCAAGATGCGTTCATTGGACGAAAAATGCCGCCCTTGAGGAAGCATCCCGTTTTGCCGCTGAGCGGCTAAATTGATCTATGTGGTGTATGTGATGTACATATTGTTACCTGAAAGAATTTTTGTTCTTTTTTTTTTTTGTGGGTTTGGCCCCCAGTGTGTTGCCTTTTGCATAGGCTTATGTGTGTGCGTCTCTGTGACGCATTTAGACTTTTATGCTTCTCCTGTTTATTTTTCCTTCTGAAACCGGTTTTGAGTTTGGGCATATCTACACTTTTTTTATTGTTGCCGTTGTTGTTTTTTTTTGTTTTAGCCTGGCATTATTTTGTGGTGATATCTTTTATTGTTGTTGTTGTTTTTTTATTGTTTGTTTAGTTGTTATCATTGCGATATACATCAGAGCAAAAAGAATGAGACGCTTCACGGGATGTTTGCGCGTTTGTGCGCCCTTTTTCCGTCACAGTACAAGTGAAATTTTAAATCTGCAGAGGGAACTCAAGGAAGTGAAGAAACGGGTTGGTGCCATAGAGGAGACGCAAACTCTTCAGGCACTGGTGGCATTTTATGCTTCTCGTCCCCTGCAAAAACTGGACAACTTTGACGAGGTGCTACGTCACTGTTTACAAGCTGGTTATAATACCGATGTTTTCTGTCATATGGAACTCCCAGTTCTTCTTTCCCGCCTCGTTACGGCCATTGACACGTTACCATGTGGACTTAATGCTATGCCTTCAGTTTTATTGGTCAGAAATACGTATTTGGACTCGTTCAGAAAACTTATTAAGTGCGATTTCCCAGATACTGAGTCCAATATTAAACAGTTTCGGTGCGTTGTTGCTGAGATTGAGGATTCGCACTCAAGAAGGGATGTTCTCATTACTATGGCAAGGGGCCTGGTCGAGCTGAAGGAGCTGCTTTCACGACATAAGGAATACATTCTTCGTAAAAAGAAAGGAGGCCTAGTCGCCGGTTTTGATTTTACTTTGGATGAGGCTTTGATAGTTCTCACGAAACCAATGGATAATTTCAGTTTATGTATGGTATATTACAATTTTCTTTCAAGAATGCTTCTTGCTTTAGAGGCAAATGATGATAATATGGTAGGAATGGTCGATCTTAAAATTGATCTTGAGATGATAGTACATAATGCTGTCGATGATGCAAAGCAAGTTTGTACAGAACATTATGGGGACTGTCCAGATGTTAAGTTTATTATTTCTAAAGAAAAACATATGATGGAATTTCCCCACATGAGCGCGACGATTTCGTATGTTGTTCTTGAGTTAATGAAAAATGCATTTCGGGCGACTGTGGAATCCCATATGGAACGTAATCCTTCTGGTATAGTTGACTGTGGTAATATGCCTCCGGTAGAAGTTCTGGTAAACATTGAAAAGAACTCCAAGCATGCATGTATTTGTGTCTCAGATGAAGGTCTGGGAATGAGTCGATCTCAGTGTGAGGTTGCAATGACTTACGCATATACATCTGTGAGAAGGCCAATTCTCCAACCTCGTCATGATGAGAATTTTGATCACAGAGATACTTTTACACCTCTGGCGGGTTATGGCTTTGGTTTACCCATGTCTAGAGTATATGCACGGGCCTTTGGGGGTGATCTCGTGATGAGTTCAATGGAGGGATATGGTACTCGTGTGTATTACTACATCAAGCTTTGAGTATCTTTATGTTGTTCCTAGTTTGTTTTTTTTAAAAAAATGATTTTGTCTGGTTTTGTATTACTCCATGTCTCATGTTGTTTACGCGTTCTTGCATTCTTTATTGTTGTGCTAGTTGATTATCTTTCTATGTTAGAAATAAGTCTGTCTTAGCCGAATTCGGTAACAATAATGAATGTAAGGAGAACTGTTACGTGTTGCGTGTGTGTGTTTTTTTTTGTTAATGTTGTTGTTTTAGCTATTTGTTTATTCTTCTCGATTTTAATTCCGTGTTTGGTTTTATTCTAATTTCAAAGGACTCTACTTCTGGTAAGGGTATTCGCTAGACAGGATAGTAGGGGAGTTGGGGGAGGAAAAGGGGAAGCAAGGGTAGGAGCTGTGCTCATAACGATGAATGGCGAAAGTAGCTTTGCTTCCACACCCGTTCCATGGGCCCTCATGCTACAGTACGAGCGCGCTGATGTTGTTCTTCAACTACTTCGACAGTTTTCCTTCTTTGACACGGATAAATTGATACTGACAGAACGGGAGGAAGTAATTTGCTCCGCCGGGATGCATTCTGAGGACATGAACTATCTTGTTATTCATGGTGCGGTGGGGAATGCTCGGAAGGATGTTTTTTTGAAACTTCTTCGTTTGGCACGGTTAACCCTTGTACAAGACATGGCTTCCCAAGTTGTGGTATGCCCCCAAATTGGTGATCTGCTCCCCAATGCTATGCTGCACTCTCTTTGGGAAACTGGCCAAGTAAGGGGATTTCGAAAATGGAACTGTATTTATTGGGCAATGAAATGTGGACTTCTTAGAAAGATTAAACGGAGAAGAGAAATGATACAGGTGCATGTGGAACAAATTTTAAACTCAAAGGCGCAAACAGTCGGTCGGAATGCTCCTGAGGAAACCATTGGAATTGGCCTTGCAAATGAAGAGTCTTTTTATAAGTCTTTTCGGGATCTTCTTGACTTGGAACAGGAAGAACAAAACGCTCCTCTCGAGATGTATCATACTGCATTTAGCGAAAAGAGAGTCAATCTTTCTACTGCGATCGCCACAGTACCTTCACTCATTGTGCTGTGGGCAAGCTGGGACGCAGCGTCAATGGGTTGGATGCGGGAGCATATTTTTAACGTCACAAAGACTTTGAGAGCGAAGACCACACCGACATTGGGCTTGTATCTGAAATATGATCCTTGGTTAGAAACTGTAATGCAGTTTGTTCATGTGCCTCAACGCATTATAGTAACTAAAAGAAGAATGAAGAAACCCTTAAAACGCGCTCAAATTGTGTTAATTAGTGTCGACCGTGAAAAGTTTGCTGCGTGTGAAGCTCTCAATAGTCTTGTCAATGAAGTCTCTGGATGGCAGAGTCCAGAAGTTCCATTGATACCATTATGGTGTGGGCCTGATGGCCTTCAAAGTGATTTAGCGATGGATCTTAATATCGCAGTACTTCCTTTTTTTGTGGCGACGCAATTGCCAGATAATAAAACGAGGAAGTTTGGTGATGGAGGTTTTCCTCGTATATGTTACATTACATCCAATACCGAGGGCGATCTAGCTTCAGATGTATACAAGAATACGATTGATAAGGCTCCTGTGGAAGGTGTTGAACGTCTCGATTGGCATGACATTGAAGAAAAGGAGCGAAAAAGTGCTATGAGTGTTATTCGTCGCTTTTTGGACTCTAGTGACGCGCCCTTAAGATTTGTTGCTCGTGTAGATCGCACCTACCAAATTGACCACACCTCCGCAGCACTCGTGACAAGTTGCCCTAAACCTGAGGTGTCTTCGTTTGTGTCTATGTCAGGAATCATTTCAACGCCTGATCTACTGAAATTAAAAGAGGGAATTAGTGTACTCTCTCAAGTTCGGAATTTTTTTCTTGAAGTAAAGGTTATGAGACCTTCTTGTTCTATCATTATTCAGCTTAATACTAAGACGCCAACTCGGTATGCTCTTGGATCAGAACGTACTATTGCATGTAGTGAGTGCCTTCAGAATATTTTGATTGACAAAGAGCACCACTTTCGGTGCATTCATTGTGATCAAAGTGAGGGTGTGTTATGTAGGGTGTGTTTTGCAGCTGGAAAGCATCCACATCATCATGTGTTACTGCGTATTCCTACCTGTTCCGAGACGACCTTGCCTCTTCTTTGGGGTCCATCGAATGTGTCGCCTTTGGATCGGTTTTGTGGAACACTTTTGTCAAACGTGAATGAGACTCATATTGGTGTCTACTGTAATGTTTGCTCGCACCTTATATGTGGAGTGCGATGGAAATGTGCAATTTGTTATCAGTATGACTTGTGTGATCGCTGTGATGAAAAAAGAAGTCGTGATACGTTTAGATATGATGCCAACTCCTCAAGTGCTTCAACAGGGCTGCCCAGCCCCGTCAATGCTTTTGCTCCTGTCACCACTCATCCCAAGGATCACTTGTTTCTCTGCATTCGCCATGGCTGCGGCGTGGATGGTGACGCATGTCTGAGTCCTGTGATGGAGCAGGGTTCAATGTCTTGCTTCATGTCACACTGCCGCACGGGGGGGGCTGCGGAGCTCCGACCCCACACCCAGGAGAAGACATAAAAAAAAAGCAACAACGAATGTACGAGTGCTGTCAGAGGGCGTCATTTACATTTCGTCCATCCACAGACGAAATTTTTTTTTTTTTTGTGTGTGTTTTGGTGTTTTGGTGTTTTGGCGTTATGCTGGTTAGTTTCTTTCTCACATGTATCTGTCATTGTTAGCCCCCCTTTCCTCTCTTCATCCATCTCAATCCGTTTTCCTTTCACTCGCACTGTTATGGTTCCCTCTTATCTTGCTCCTATTTCTCCTCCTCTTCTTGCTGTTGTTGTTGCTGCTGCTGCTGCTGCTGAGAGCACTGAGTGCGCCTCTCCCTCCATCACACCCCTTGTATACTTCGCGAATAGCTCGGAGGGGCGGGGTCACTCGTAAGCCAAGGGTCTTATGGGTTGCAAGGAAAGCTCGTTGCGTTCCGCTGGTACGAACGAGAAAAATGGGGCCGATGCCGCAAAAACGGGATACAGCGTCGAAAAAGCGGAGCGTCCCAAATCCAAATCCAAATCCAAATCATCACTTTGCAATACCGATCATGCATCGTCGCTCTCGCAGTCATCGACCTCAGAGAAGAATAGAGGCTCCCCGGTCTCGGCGCGCCAAGACAAGGACAAGCCGCTTCCTCCGCATGACCCGTTGGGTGATGGAAGAGGAGCCCCGGACAGTATGCAGCTCGTTCCTTTTATGGCAGATGAGGCCAATGGCATTCACGCGGACTATGATTACATCGTGTCAACTGATAGTAGCACGTCCAGTACTCCGCAATTGTTTCGGGTTGAGCCTAAGCGTATCGTTCCGCAGGGGGAAGGCACATGGGAGTGGTGGTACGAACAGGTGGAAAGGCTACGTGTAACAAAAGATAACAGCTCCCGTGTCAGACTTCAAGACGTTCCGAATCGGCTTACGCGGCAATATGATGCTAACAAGAACCAGGTTGAGTTGGACCTGAGCTGGTGCTATATGGAGCGTGCAGCTCCGTACGTTCTTGGGCGGCTGTTTGCCAGCCCTTACCTGGGCGAGCTCCGCTGGGTGACCGCGCTTCGACTGGATGGTAACTACTTCACTGATGACGGATTTGGCAACATGCTTGCCGTGATGGGGGCGGCAAATGAAAGGCAGGTTGTTTTTCCACTCTTAAAAAATTTGTACCTCAACAGCATGAATCTCGATCACTGCAGTGTTCATGGTTTTTTTTTCTACTTGTTCCCCGTGGATGCAGCTCTTGCCGCCAGACAACCATCATCATCGAGCATTGCAGGCGAGGCAGCTGGACTCCCAGCGGAGGCGTACATGCCATTTCATGAAGCGCCACGCGTTCCTTTGTTTCCATCGTTAGAGGTACTGAGTCTATGCGACAACCCGAGTATAGGAAACCGTGGTTTGGCAGAAATACTTCGATGGTTTATGGCACCCCATTACCAGCGGAGGATTTTACCCGTATTGGACCTCTCACGCTGCGGAATTAACGAGGTGGGGGTGGGCTACATCAATGAATATCTCACGCAGCTCTCACTGGCAGCGAAGGAGGGAGATTGCGTTGTCATTGCTAGACGTGTGGTTCTCTTTGGTAACCGGCACAGCTGCAGTGGCGGCAGTAGCAGCAGCGGCAGCCTCCACGCTAGGAATAACGCGGAGCCGGATGTCACACTTTTGATGTGACGAAAATGAGATGATGGCAACAAGCCTGCATAGAAGCAGCCGATATACACTATACACTGCCTCTTGTGTTTAAGCAAAGGAGGGGAGTGTGGAAGGCGTGGCCGGGGGTGAGACACGAAAGCAAAGCAAAAAAAAAAGAGGGGCTGTTTGAGTTGTCTCCTTTAATCGCGGGCGTTTTTCTGTGGCATCCACCGGGACCACACAAAAAAGTCATATTATATTGAGTTCCGTGGCATTTTTGCCATGCTTGGGCCTTTCACATGAGAATAGAAGGCGATGGGGAGTGCGGTTTCCCCCATGGAAAAAGAGTGCAGTGAATCACAAAAGGCGACGTGAAAGAAGTAGAGGGCATAGAACAATTTTGGAAAAAGGACGAGATAAGAGGTGGGGGACGGACGTACACGGGAAGAGGAAATACATGCGGTAGTGCACACGGCCTTACGGGAGCCTTCAACGATGTGAAGAAAACGAGGGAGTATCAAAAACAACAACAACGTGTTATCGCCATTTTTTTTTTTTTGATTTGTGTATGTTGTTGTTCTTGTTAACATGCGCAACCGATATGCAAATAGTGATAGCTCGCTCTCTCTCGCTCCCTCTTTCTCGCCATGTGTGTGGTTTTGTGTGTGTGATCCTTTCTTTTACGATTGTTGTTATCAGTACATTTTCCTCGTCTCGTCGCATGCGTCCAGCATCTCTCACATTCTTTTCGTCCTCCTTTTCTCTTTGAAACACATTCAACACACTCCCCTTTTTTAGTTTGTAGGGAAGTTTGAAAAGAACGTGAAGGAAACTCCAATGCTTCGTACTACCCGATTTGCACGGTCCTTCTCGCAGGAGGCGTTTCACCGCATGAGCAAGTACATCAAGAGCCGCAATCCAAATGAAAAGTACCTGCGTACAGGTCATATTGTGCTCGAGACACTCAAACGGTACCATGCGTATGTGTTGGCGTTAGGAATTATTTTGACAGTGACGTGCTACGATCAGCTGAAGCACCCGGAGAAGATACGGACACCCGTCCACGATGGGCGATCACTTGTCCTCTAGTCGTCATGTAGTGTTGTCAACAGCAGTGGTGTGAAGTTTAAATGGGAGGGGCCCGTAGTATGCATGATTACCGTTGTTTTTTTTTCTTTTTAAGGGTTGATGCTCACCGCTCATTGTAAGTTGCACACACGCACATGTTTTGTCTCCCTTTTTATAGGCGTTTACTTCTTATCCTTTTTTATTTTTTTAAATATATATATATATATGAAAAGTACCCATTTTCCTTCGGCGGAAGATACGCCGGCGGCTGAAACACGAAGACGGGAAGGAAGGGAGAGGCCATTGCTGAACAAAAGAAAGAAGTTTCCAGCGACTGGAAGATGAGCCGCACTCCTGTTGGAACGAAGCCCTGCAAAAAGGTAACGGCATCTGCAGCCTCCTCCTCATTCTCCTCAGCGTCGCTGAAACGCTTTCTTGACATGATCCCACTGGACATTGACATTGAAAATGTGCGGCAAATCACCCTCAAGGGCAAGCAGCTCACCGCTCTTCCCACCAACTTGGGCGGGTTGCTGCGCGAGGTCCGGCGACTTGAGCTGTCCGAAAACGATATTTACGACGTCACACCGCTGGCCTCATTGTCCCACCTCACCTCGCTCAATCTCTCAAAGAACAGGCGACTGTCCTCTATTGCACCTCTTGCCACGCTGCACCTAACCGTTTGCGTGGTGGCCTATTGCGATCTAAACTCATTGGTTGGTCTAGAAGGATGTGCAACGACGCTAAAGACACTCATCGCAAACGATAACAACTTAGTGCTGCAATCTCCCACCGGGGGAGTCGTGGCAGACGCTCAGGCAGACCACGTTTCAAGGGCCGTGAGAAACTACGAAATCCTGGCAATGCTTTCCACCTGTGAGACGATAGTGCTTTCCCGCAATCCCCATCTCTGCGCCTTGTATGCTGCACCCACTCTAAATGAGGACCTTATTGCAGAAGGCGTTAGGGGAAATATTGCGGGACACTTACCACATCATGAGGCAGACTGGTCACACCCACTCTCTGTTCTTGAGAAAATGAAACAGTTAAAGAAACTTTCGCTTAGTGGGTGTGGATTGGAGTCCCTGCCGTCACACTGGTTTCTTCCCATGGTAACAGAACTGCGGTTGAGCCATAACGCGCTTTCTAGCCTCGTTCCAGAAGGCGTTATTTTTCGCTCAGTGAAGATTCTTGACGTTAGTCATAACGTTCTCACAGATGTCAAAACGCTGAGACGGTGTCGTTTTGTGCGAAATTTAAGCATACGCGGTAATCCGTTCCAGAAGGAGACGGCGTCATCATCGCTGACAGAAGATGGAAAGGTGAGGAAAGGGGCCCAACTACCAGTTGAAGTCTTGAGGTTTCTCACACGAAAGATGCCGCATCTTGAGGTCGTGGACAGCACGTTGCTCTCCTCCATTCAATTTGAGGACGTGGCAGGTAAAAGCAGACTTGAGCGGTGTGAAACTGTGGAGGGCAATAGTGCGCAACGCAAAGATTCTCGTCATCCGACGGAATCGACTGCCGAAGAAATTAAGGACGTTGTTGTGGAGCTTTCTGAAGCTGTACCAGATAACATACGAGCGCCCATAGTGAGGCGAGAGCGCACGAACCTGCTATTGCAGCGAAAGAGGGAGCTAGTAGCTGATGGTGCTGCCGTGGCTCAACTAGTGAAGCGGAGAAAAACAGAAGCTGCTGTTTGGTGATGACTTTGAGAGCTCAATAAATGTGTTTTACAATAAGAACGATTACGTCTTTCTGCGAACTGTATGAGGCCGGTTAGTCTTGCTGAATATCAGGGAATATAAGATAAGGACACGCAAACTGCCCCTATCTTTGTTGTTGTTTTTTTCTTTCTTCCATTGAAGAAATACATATTTTTCTGTGTAATGGCTTCTTTGCAACGTTTTGGCTTTGTTCATTGGTGAACTCGGTGGTCACGAGAGCTAGTTAACGGGGTTTCACCTGTAGCGTCCGTCTCTTTTTTATGTGTTTCCCTCGTTTTTTTTTCTTGCTCGCTCGTTTCCATGCTGTTTGTGCTGTCTGCTGCGTGGGGGCGGAGGCGCTAGGGGGCGGTGTGCTCGTCCTCGGCGCGCAGACATTCGTGGGCCTGCCGGGGAGTTGACGTGGGCGACACACAGACGTGTTGGGAGGAGGAAGAGGGGGGAGATGGAGGATAAGCTACGCTGTGCCACGCGAGAGGAGTTGATGAGCCACGTGCTCACCCAGCGCCGTCTCATTCGGCATCTGCATCGGCGCGTCGTCGAACTGGAGCGGGAGGTTTCCTTGGTGTCCCGCAGTTCACCTCCTCGGAGGAGCGGTGCGACAGCGTTGTCTGTGGGGCTTCGTAAAATTGGCCGCGTCCTGCAAGCACATGCCTCAGGTGCGCTGCATCTTCCGCAGGAGTTTGTGGCCGAGTTTCTGTACATCCAGAAGGAACTTGCCGCCGCGGCATCCGGTGAAGCTCCCACACCATCGTCGGGGAGGCCAGCGGCGTCACCGCCTGAGGAGGGGTCCAGTGTTCCGCGGCGTTTTTCTCCGCCAGGTTCTCTCATTCAACGGACCCAGCAGCGCCTGTCAGTGATACAGAGGGATGAGACGCCGTAGTGCATTACGAGCATGGGGTCTTTGTGTTTCCTATGCCGAAGCTTGGG